ATTGATGCTTATATGGAAAAGACAGGATGTTCTGTTTTTAAGGGATTCGATTCTTAGATCGACATTACACAATAATGAACAAAACTTTTTGAAATCCTATTTTTTCTAATCATTATTAGATCATACTTATTATTTATCTTAAACTAACATATTTTATCTGAATAAATTGTATTAAACTCCATTGAACAAAATGTTGTGATAGGAGAATAAAAATCGGTGATCCTGTTGATGATATCTTCACAATAGAATATAATAAATAATGTATGACATACTAAAGTACAAATTCAAAATAATATTACTCAACTTTTTTAAAGAAAATAAGATACTCAGTAATTATAACCAAAATGTATAAAATAATGTCTTCTTGTTAGCTTTTAGTTTGATAATAGTTTAATTTATAACACTAAAAATTATTATTTGAAATAGCATATTTCTCAGACTACCAAATCATGAAGGATAGGGTGGGTGTGGTTGTTAGAGATACATAAAGTATTGACACCCACACCCTTGTTTGGAAACATCTTGATTAAAAGATGTTTCACATATGTGTAAAATATATAGATGAATTTTATTTATTAATGATTGACGTAATCATGATATGAAGAACAATCTGTAATGGTGTACTGAGACTCACATTTATTCATTTTTTCTAATTCTTTGATCACTGTTTTGAAGTTTATCTGAACGTTATGCAATAATCGTACGAAGAGAGATGAATTAAAGTACGATAGATGTTTTTCGTTTTTAATTCGGTCATTTCAACCGTTAGTAATATATTCATATGAGAATTGTCTACAGGAGAAATCAGAATGTTCTTATAATCTTATAACGCATTTTGTAGGGTTATTTTCATAAGTATGAATGGATAGACTGTTGATTGTTTTATCTATTATTTGTATGATTTTTCAAAGATTTCTTTGTCATATATAAAATATCGCTCCTTGAAATTTTTCAATTTGTAAATATAAATACAGAAACAAATTGAAATATTTTAAGGTTTCCTTATTACGAACAATCGAAAAACACATATTTTCATTTTTATTTATTTCTTCTATACGAGACACTCTCAAATCACTTTATACGTGAATTACTGAGAAAGAAAAGGATTGAATATCATATAAAGTAAGATTTTAATTTGTTTTTTTTTGTGGTTATTAAAAGAAAAATATATTCAAATTAAGATGGAATGAATTTTATTTCTTTTCGAATTTTCAAATATAAATATATATTTCTAAAACTATCACCCTTTCATTCGTCTCTTCAAGATAAAATGAAAATCATTGTATATGTGATCATAATTTCTTATTGTTCATTTGTTCAGTCAAATCATTTTTATGGAGGAACAATAACGTGGAAATCATTAAATAATACAGATTTCAATTCAACAGTGTCAGTAATGTTTACACAATCATATGAATGGCGACAAACACAAACACATTGTGATCAATCTTATATTTCTAATCAAACAATTAAAATACCTATGAATGGAGATAAACTTAAATGTGTGACTAATTCATCTGCTTGTGGCAATTATATCCCATTGAGTGTTAATGGTTATTGTACAGATTTTAGTACATTGACTGATTCAAGCTCAAGTCAAATATCAGATATAGAAGAGATCACTATGGATTCAAAATTTTGTGTAGCTTATCAAGGTGCAACATGGCCTGGAATTATCTTATTAGGTTGGTATGTAGATAGCGCAAAATGGTCACTCGGCTGTTGTGTTGATTTAACAGTAAGATCAGATGGATTTATTAATACACCACCAATTGCTACAGTTATTTCACGTATGTTTAGTATTATTATACATAAATATTTTATTATTTATTTGTTTTAGCTATTCGAGTACCGACAAATACTTTAACTAATATAATTATTCCAGTTACAGATGCTGATAATGATACTCTACTGTAAAACTGAAGTTTTCTTTTTTGATATACTTTTTAGTAATAATATCTCTCGTTTTAGTTGTCGTTGGGCTATGAATGTATCGTTATTTGATGAATGTGGCGATATCTGTGGGGAAGTTCCAGGCAGTACACTTATTGCTGAGAACTGTACATTGATATTCAATAGTACAGGAAAACAGGCAGGCGATTTCTATGCAGTTGCTTTAATGGTTGAAGATTTTGATAATGAAACAAATGGTACTGCTTTGAGTAGTGTTCCTATACAATTCTTAATTCAAATTATTGCTTTACCTACTTGTTATTCAAAACCAATAATTACTTCAAATGCATCAACAAATACAATTATTCCAGTTGGAGTTTCATATACATTCACTCTAACAATTAAATCAGGTTGCCCAGATGTATCAATTGTTGATTACTTTCGAGCACCACCATTAAATATGCGTAAAAGTAATATAACATTCAATGGAATAAACAATGTATCATCCGTAACTGAAACCTGGACACCATCAAGTGATCAAATTGGATCTCAAACTTATTGTTCTATAGCAACTGACAGGTATAATAACCTATGAAATTCTATAAATCTTTATTTTTTTTTGCTTTAATATTAGTGTTTCGATACAATCAGATATATATTGTTTAACATTAATTGTCGGTCCTAGTACTAATCAAAATAATACTAGTAAATATATATGGAAATTTTCAATTTTTTTTTCTAAAATTTAATTCTTTCTATTGATAGCTCCTAACACAAGTAATTCGAATACTACAGCAAGGTAAAAGAGATCTTCACTTCAAATAAAAATTGTTCAAATCTCCTATCTTTAGTTATACTGAAGATACTGATGATTATACTACATATTTTACTACGGATATATCAACTTCAAGTACTCAAACTACAACAACTACGACTACTACAACAACAGAAACATCTACAACTACGACTAGTGCTACTACTACAACATCAACAACTACGACTAGTACTACCACGACAACAACAACAGCGACAACTACAACGAGTGCGACTACGACAACAACAACTAGTACAACATCAACAACAACAACCAGTACAACATCAACTACTGCGACTACTACAACATCTACAACTACAACTAGTACAACATCAACGTCAACAACTTCAACTAGTACAACGACATCAACGTAAATTGAAATGTTTTCTTTTGTTTCTCGATATTTTATTCTTTTAATTTTAGAACAACAGCTACAACCACAACGACTACTGCACAAGAATATGTTACAGTTATCGGTTGAGTATATTGTTTCCTTATGTTAGATCATAATTTATAAAATGTTTCTTTATTTGTTTAATTATAGTATCTGATTCAACAAAAGATAATTCAGGAATACTTGGATTAGGACTTGGTCTTGGTTTACCGTTGGTTTTGGCTTTTGCAGCATTAACTTTCTATGCCTTGTATCGGAGACAATCTATGCCTCCTAGGTATGTTATATTTGAAAACTAAATTATATTTAATCTTTCATGACTTTTTTATGTTCGTCAATATAAAATTTTAATTTCAATCTACAAGATTTTGTTTTCTATTTTGATTATTATTTCAGTGTTGAACTTTTTGAGAGTGTTGAAACTTCTATTAATCAACCTGAATCCATCGAAAAATTGTCTGAAAATAATAACAATTCTTTAAGTGATGCAACTGATGATCGTCAAGAATACAAAAGTACTACTAATGAAAATTTAACAAATCCAGAACCACAATTACTCAATGTAAATTCTTTTACAGCTGTATCAATTTCAGATTTTGAATTACACGGTTTGCAAAGAACAACAGCGGCATCATTATTCTCATCACCAATATGTGACCTTCCAAATGATAATGTTCAACATACACAACAATTTTCATTAGATATGAATAATTTTCAACCAACTGGCTCGATTCTTGTTCGTGCTTATACCCAACAAGGAAAAGACAATTCCATTAATTCTTCATAATTTTTTTTATAAAAAAAAACCTCTTTTCTTCATTATAGATCTCATTCATTTTATTTTAATTCTGCTCTTTTTTATGTTTTATCAAGTTTAAAATAAAAATAAAAAAAAAGAGTAAATGTCTTTCTACATTTGTGCAATACATTGATTTACTTAGAAAATAACGACTGTAGAGTGATGTGACACTAATAAACTAAATAGTAAGTTGAACTGACCGGATAAATAATTGAGTTATCAAGGTTTCTTTATCATCTATGATAGTCAAATATAAAGGAATAATATGACATAGATTACATTGACCGTTTGTGACTTATTATTGAGTTTTGAAAATATATTCCAATGTAATATGTGTATTTCGAATAGACTAAAATGAAACCTTATATTTTAATAGATATATAATTGAATTTCTTTTTACGTGTTATTATAAACGAATCCAACAAAAAATTTTTCTTTATTTCAAAGATTTTATTTTACAATTTTTATTCAGTCATTCAAGCACATTGTTTGATTAACATTATAAACATGAAGAATATTATTTATGTTTGTCAAAAAATTATTTTTTTTGTATAGATTAATTACTGTAAACATGATGAATATGAACATATGGATTTGTACTATTTTGTATTGTGTACCAAGTATTAAAACAATTGAATATCATGATGAAATAACAACAGAAAAATCAATGACGAAGACTGTAACAGGTTCAATTATTATTATGAAATTGACACAATCATTTCGTATAACCACAGCTTTGGCACTATCAACGACTGGTAAATTTAGATTTGCTATTATTTTAATGATATGAACGAGAGTGTGAAAGATAAACTCATATATTTACTAACCCATTCTTAAAACAGAACTTCATTTATTTATATATAGATCTACGCAATGATTCAGTCAGCGTGATGTCAAAATTATCAATCATAGTTGAAAAAAGTCTTCTACAAAATGGTTCTTAATAATATTATTTTTGATTTATTTACATATTAGAAACTTTTTTCTCTTTTTTTTATAGGTTCATTATTGACGTCATCAGACAACGATGTTTCATTTTCATATTTAGATCTCGCACTTGGTCTTGGTCTTGCTATTCCACTATTGCTATTATTCACTGGATTAATTATATGTGGATGTTGTTGTCAAAAATATCAATTTCTCAGGTATTTTTGTATAAGTAATTGAGTTTTATCATTGATACTTTAATGAACCAAACAGATGCGTTTGACTTAGATTACATCTTTCTTCAAGCAGACAAGATCATCTCTTATTTATTTTATTTCTAGTTGTTGTACTTCGAAATTTTATCGATATTTTGAAAGTCGTAAGAAAACTACTCAGAATCATACGGAATCAACCGAGAAATTTACTAATAAGTCGACCAGTCACAAGGACCTTAGCTTCACAAATGATTTGAAAGATACTGAAGATCTTAAATTCACTAATGAATTAGACAACAATCAAGTTGATAAGGTGGCGAATGACAAGAATGATCTTGAACTCGCAAATAACTCAGAGAACAATACAAATCTTATAGTCACAAGTGAACCAAATGACAACAAAAACCTTACAGCTACAAATGAATCCAGTGATATCAAAATTCTTTCGACTGCACATCTATTAATTAAAAGTAGCGATCTTGAGGTCATAAATAACTCAAACGATTTGAAAGATCTAACATTCACAAATAAATCTATTGACAGTAGAGATCTTAAGACCGAAACTGAAACCACAGTCAATACACAAATTACATTGTTGAATGAATCAAATGTGAATGAAAGTCTTGGAAATGAAGTACCCCTTTATTATCAACAATATGTTAATGATGGTCATGAAAGTGATACTAATAGTGAAGTGAGCTCACAAAATGAAGATGCGCTGGCAATGCAAACAATTCTAACGACATCAATGTTATCCACTGATTATGATACTTCTGCAATGAATGTTACAAGAACATCACTTTTCTCATCTTCTGTTAATGGCCTTCCAACTAATGATGTTCAATATTCAAGTGCATTTTCGTTAAAAAATACAGGCTTGTCGACACGAGGTTCTATTCTTTGTCGAGCCTATTCTGTTAAAAAAGATCAAAAATCAAATCTCGAATAATCAAGTTCGAACTATGTTTAATTTTGATTTGTTTTTTTGCTCTTTCTTTTTTTGTGACATATATATATATGTGATTTAAATGTTTCAAATTAGGTTAATAAAACATGCGGATTGATGAACCATAGTTAATCATCTTCTGTCTACAAAAATAACGAATGAGGGTGTGGGTGTGGGTGTGGGTGTGGGTGTAGATATCCTTTTTATTTCATATTCATTCTATTAAATAAAGCAGGAATGAATAGTCGTTCTATTACACCTACTTCTTGCGTTGGTGTTAGTGTTTATGTTGATATGAAAACATAGGATCTAATCTACTTATTAGGATTATTTCGACTTTGCTTAATGAACATTTTTAGAAGAATTCACATCCTGTCACTGTGAATTTTTCTCACAAAAAAACAGTTACCTCTTGCCGTCTCACATACATCGCAAACAAAAGCAAAAATAATTCGAACTTCATTTTCTTTCGTTTCTGCTCCGCAATCGGGTTTTTTCCCTAGTGTATTTGTTTGTGCACGCTCTCCAAACGTAATGCAATCGTTGCACAACTTCTGTACATTTTTCTGAAAAAAAATTACTTCTTGCCATCTCACATACATCGCAAACAAGAGCAAAAATAACTTGAACTCCATTTTCTTTCATTTCTGCTCTGTAATCGAAGGTTTTTTCCCACTTTAATTGTTTGTGCGCGCTCTCCAAACCCGACAGAATCGTCGCACAAGTAGTGTACATCTGCCGCATATATAAAGAAGCTCTGAATTTCATTTGATCTTCACTGTGACAGAACGCTGAACATTATTCAACATTCATTACCCTCTCCATTTATTCGACGCAGATTTTTCTTTTTCATTAATAACGGATATAATGTGTACAGTTAGGTTTATTCGCTACTTTGTTACTTTGCAGACAGAAAATTTTTTTACCGAAGCGTCTAGTGTAATCTACTGAAATGATACTAGTTTTGTAAAACGATTTCATGTCATATTTTAGAACTCGACCTTTGCATTAACAAGTGCATTTTCCTTTACTAATTCATCATGCAAAAGATCGCGGTTCTCCTTATTATTGGCTTCGTATTGCTTATGTTGGGATCGTCGACAATTACAGCTCACCTGTCGGATTTCGGTTCTTGTCTTAATGACATTGGCTTTGCAACCGTTCTGGGTCGTCATCAACAACTATGTAATACAGATGCAGATTGCCCGGGCAAACAGAAATGTCGTAATGGACGCTGCTACTAAGTGACTCAACAGCAGGATAAACTCACAGACATTTATTATTCAGTCTTTTTCCTATTCCTTCTCTGTCTTAGATAAAAAATAAACTTTATTCATTAATATTTCAGAAAAATATTTTATTGGTTTTTGAAATTCTTGCAACCTATGACTAACTTAAGGGGGAGTATAAGAATCAATAATAACCATTAACCGGCTTTCATCACAATTAGATACTGAATCGTCAGGTGGAGTAATTATCTGCATATAGAATTATAAAGTCAAAACTAAGGGTGGGTATGAATGTCTGCTCTTAAGTCTCAAACACCCACCTGAGATCCACATCTTGAGGATGTGTGTGAGTGTTGGTGTGAATGTAAGTGTGGGTGTGAGTATAAGTGTGGATAAAATCTTCTTTCACACCTGCCTACATCTACACCCACACCCATCATCTTATTCTTCAAATTTCATTTTTAATGTACATTCGATAGTAGATTATATAAGACTAATTATTATTGTTAATGCGATGCGGAGCAAAGCATTTATGTAATCCTTCGCGAGTTTTCTTGCTTTTTTTTACGAAAGCATCGCAAAACATGATCTAGACTTTTTCACATTCCGAGATAATTATAAAGGACAAATTAATACTTTATCAGTGGTATGCGAAAGGTAAATCTATACGTTAAAGAAAATGAGTATTCTGATCAGTACGAGTAGGTGATTTTGAATGTTAACATACTGATTAACTTATTATTTGTGTTTATAGCAGTATGTTTATAGACAAGGTCTCGCCAAATTGAATGCCAAACAAATCAATATTTACATTTATTGAAAATATTCAGAGATTAGAAATAAACGTATAAATTAATTGTATAGTTCTTTTTTTTCGAGAAATATTTATCAGAATAATTATTTACAACTACTTCATATTTTCTATGATTTACCCTAAAAACTGCACATTTCAAGAAGATAATAATTTTAATAATAGATATGAAATAAACGCACTGTTTTGATTGCATTTTATTTTTCATGACAAGAGAAAAACAAAGAAAAAAGAACCTGCAATGTATTGGACGGGAAATAGAGATTAGCGACAAAAAAAATCACTTATTAAAATGTTTCGCACATTATGTTTATGTTATTTTTTTTTTGCTACTTTCTATTTACAAATAATAAATATCAAGAAAAGAGAAATTTTTTATATTGATGATCAATTATGTCACATCAATGGCTAAAAAAAAGAAACGTACAGATGATTAAACATATTTTGTTCGGTTAACAAACAAAAAAAAAGAGAAAATGAGACAGAAGCAAACAACACACACAATATTAGTATTCATCATCATTCGAGAATAAAAAGTAATATAACCAGTATATCATGTAAAAAAAAAGAGAAAGAAATAACAAAACAAAAGAAAAAGAGAGAACATTTTTTTCTTTCTCAAAATTTGCATTGAAAGCTTTTTTAAATTCGTTTTCGAACAGTGTAAAAAAAGATAAATAAATATATGTATTTAGTCTACTTTTCTATCTAGTTTGAAAGAACAAGAATATAGTTTACATATTTATTATAATATATATGCACGTTCACACATAAAGAGAAAGATACAAAAATAAAGATGAAATACAAAAAAAAAGAAACGAGAAAGATTCATCCATTGGCTTTGTCATGCATTCGTATATTTGAAAATCTGACGCACATTTGGTCTAAAAATGAATAATACAATTTTCTTTTGTAATGTAAAAATTGACTAGAAAAACTTTTCTCAGGTAGTGTTCAATCACGATTAACTGATTTTGGTTTATTTGTTTGTTGATTATTTATTCCATCAAGATGCTGTTTCCCATTCTTCATCTTCTTTTTGATCATTATCACTTACTGAATTATGGCAAAAATTATTATTACTGGTGATGCTATTGTAATATTAGAAATTTGTGAAACAGATCAAGCTTGTAAGATGGCATGTGAACAAGATATAACATGTTGGGGATGGTCATTTTCAATTTCATTAAAAAAAATGTTGACAATATTCAAAAGTTGGTGGATTTTCGTGGGATGATGATTATATAGGTGAATCATGTCGTAGTAAGTGATTAAAAATCATTTTTTTATTCGTTTCTTTTGACATAAATAAAATCGTTTATTATCATCAAAAAAATAAAATAAAATAAAATTGAAGAATTTTGTTTTCAGAATTAATTATAAAATATATTGTATATTTTAATTTAGTGATGAATATATCATATCCAGATATAATTTCTTTAAAAATGTTCAGACAACAAGCATTAGATAAACATAATGAATATCGTAGATGACATTGTTCACAATTATTAATATCAAGTGAAAATCTAAATGAAATTTCTCAAGATTATGCAGATAGATTAGCTACATTTGGTGAAACACCACCAAATTATAGTGGAATTAGAACGAAAAATTTATATAATCAAACACTTAATTATAAATTACAATGTAAATAAGAATTCAAGTATTTCTATTAATTTAAAGGTTCAGTTCCAGTTAAACAATGGTATAACGAAAAAAATAATTATAACTGGGAATATCCTGATTTTTCTAAATCAAAACCTTTTGCTAAACTTATTTGGAATACTGTGACACAATTAAGAATTGATAGAGCATTTACCCGTGATACTACAACAATGTTTGTAGTTGCAACTTATTATCCTGGTGGATATACTGAAGAATCATACACACAAAATATCAAAGGAGAGTGTTAACAAATCAACATTCAAATACATTTAACAAAAATCAATTACAAAATTTTAAAACAATGTTTCGTATATAAAAACACATTTATATTATTTTTTAATACTAAATTAAAATTTGATTCTTTCACAACTTTTTTGTATTATTTATTAACTAAATTTTCTTAAAATTATGAATCTTGATTGAGATAGAAAAATAACTTTTGTTTTACAGTTTTTTTTCTACACTATCAAAGTATGTCCATTAATCTAAAAATCTTCTCTACACTATTGTTTTCAACTAACATAATCATTTCGATTTTATTACAATTTTTTAACTAATCATTTTCAATTTATTTATATTAATATTTCTTTTTTTTCATTTAAATATATATGCAGTTTATTCTTAAAATATAACATAACTATTTTTAAATATATTTATTAGAAAAACTTCCATATTGTCTCACTTGTATTTTTAATGTACAAAATATGATCCAAGTATATAACGAAAAATATATCGTTATATTTGCTTATTTACTTTATTATGGTCGTTATCTACCTGTATGTTATTTCATTTGTCATTTATATACATACATAAAGAATAACAAACCATCAATCTTTCATATAACCATTTTTTTCAGTCTACCAAATAAAAAAGAAAAAGCGAATATCGATAAATAACGTTTTTTTTATATAAAAATATGTCTATACATGTGCATATTATTCGACTAAAAACATTAATCTTCATTAAGACTCTATACATGAAATAGATATTGAAAGTATTTATTCTTTTTCTTAATAATAATTTATATAAACAAATAAATATCGATAACTATTCTTTTGTCAGTATAACGATAAAAAAGAAAAGCATTTATCTAAGATAAAATATTATTTTTGTAAACAAAACAATTCTTACTGGTTAATTTAATTAAATATTGTAAGTATTAAAGAATTTCTTTAACAAAATATTTAATTCTTTTGCTCAGAAAAAAACCAATTTTTATCTTTTTTCATCTTTTGTTTTTCTCATAGAAATTTAAAGAATTGAATTAATAGAAATATTCAAACATAAATTTCATTTGAGTTTTGATATTTAAATGACTTTAGACTAATTTTGAGATTATTTAAAAAAGGAAAAGAAATAAAATTACTTAACAATCATAATTTATCACAAAGTAATCAGATTTAGTTGAACTTTAAGAAATGAAATAATATTTATTTGTTGTATTGTAATCTATAGAATATTCGAAAATCTTATAAAAGTAAATAATACGATAGAATGAAAATTTCTTTCTTACAAATAGTAATACGATGTCTTCTTCAATAAAATAAATGGTTACATTGAAATTTTTCACTCGTTAACATATGTACATTTTGTAAGTATTAGTCAATTGTACTTATAATAAAAAGTTTGTATGAATATCTATTTTTGAGATGATCAAATATTTTTATGTAGTTATTATAATTATTAAAAATATTCTTTCAAAAGAAATCCATTCAAAAAATTTTAAACAATTTGTTGAATTTTTCGATTACAAGATTTTCAATGTATTTTTTCTCCATTCAAATATTCAAAACTAAAAGATATATATACACTGAATATACCATCGAAATTAAAGATTTTATTTGTAGAATAGAATTAGAACTAAAACTAAGTAAATATTCTTCGAAATAGATAATATATATATGAACATTTTTAGATCATCAATAGAATTCACTAAGATCTATTAAATATGTACGAAAACAATTTCCATATTAATCTTATCTAATCTATATTGATCATCAAACAATAGAAACTAATAGCACTGATTTATGTATAGATATTATTATAAATATTTTCCTAATTAAATCTAATTTAAATTCAAGGTTTCAAAGGTGATTATATATCAGATTAGAAAGAAAAATTCCTAGAAGATTTTCTTCTGAGTTTTGTGATGAGAAGAAAAGATTGAAAAGAGTTTTTATCATTTTGATTCCATTTTAAAAATTTATATCATTTAATATTCGATAGAATTTATTTCTTATCAAGAAGAAAACAACTAATTCTATGGTAATAGAACCAACTAGAATTTGTGGAATCATCAGCTTTAACAAATGAAAATTTTCAAAAAAAAAATAGAAAACAAATCTCTACAACAGAATCTATTAGAATCACACTGAAACTCGTTAGAATCTTATAATGATTCGTTTTTCTGTGCGTAGAGAGAATTAAACTCATAATATGATCTACGTATAAAAATAGGAAATTTTCAAAAGAATTTAATTTAACATAGAAGTCAATAGAAAAAGCATTTAATAAAATATTCTCTTTTATAAAAATAAATATTTCGAGGATATTTTTTTCGAGAAATAGTTTTAAAGAAAAATATATGAGAGATTATGTATAGAATTAGAAAAAAGAAGTATTTGAAAGAACGATGAATATAACTTAAAAAAAAACATTTTAATTGAAAATAAATCCTATTAATCAATTATGATTAGTTAATCTATTGAATTGATTAGATCTGAGTGTAGTTTACGAGTTTGATTTATTTTTTTAATTATTAATTGTTTATATTTATTTAGTTTAATAGAGACAAAATGTCATCAATATCAATAGATATTCCAACATTAGAAATCAATTCATATGGACTTAAAAATCTTGTCAATTATATATCTCGACATGAGCAAACTCTAAAAGAATTTGGAGCTATTAAAATTAAATTAAATTCTGATTGTTTATTAGGCTTAAAAACACAGAAAATTTCTTCGAAATTTACAAATATTCAAAAAATTGTTAAAATAAGTAATGATGAACCAATTTATTCGATAAAGAAAATTGAAGGTATAAATGATTACATGAAAGAACATATACCAATATTAAATGAAGAAACATTCTGGTCTTCTTTTATTCATTCAAATCATAAACATGAACAATCAGCTGCTTCAATATTACTAAATAAATCATTGTTTTTAAAAAACTCTCCTGAAAATTCCTTTTCAATCCATCATATACCAAAACAATCATTACTTAAATTAGTTGATACTCAAATAATTCCACAATTTGTTCCTTGTTTAACACGATCACATGAACCAGGAACTATATTTCCATTATCAGATACTCAACAACGTTTATTTTCATTAATATATCATCATGATGGTGGTTCTCGTTGTTGGTACATTATTCCTTCATGTGAAAGAGAAACATTACTAAAACTACTTTATCAAAAGAGTTCTTCAACATGTTTTCAACATGATCACTTATTCATTAATCCATCCATATTAGATAAACATCATATTCGATATCATCGAATTATTCAATATTCAAATGAATTTATTGTTTTATCAGCTGGAACAATATCACAGAGTTTTACAACAGATGCATGTTGGACTGAATCTATTCCATTTGCATTACCTAGTTGGATTAGAAATGATCATGTTTACAATCAACATTCAACATGTCAATGTAAAATAAATCAAATTTCAGAAGCAAAAACTATTAATATGAATTTATCTCAATCAGATCCTGTACAAAAATCTATTGATCAGTATCGCAATGTTAATAATAATAATTATCAACATATATCAATTTCGACAGGCTAGTTAATAATATAAACATTTTTTTAACAATTCTATTCGATCTCTATCATAAAATCAATTTCAATTCAGATTATTAGTATTTTTGTATGAGTGAGTCCAGTAACAATGTATATCGCACCTAGAAATATAATAGGACTATCATCAGTTGCTGAAATTTTGCATTTACTACTTTTGTTAATATGAGAATTCTGAAAAAAATCGTCGAGAAGTCCAGCTGATTTTCTTTAAAACTATAGGACAGAAACACGTTTCTTCTTCAATACGACTGAAATCGATTAGAATTATTTTTTCCGATTTCAGTTGATTGTCATGATTTGACTTGATTTTATAGTTATGTAATAATAAATGAAAATAATTATTTAACATTCTAATAAAAATTTCTCTTTTAGATGATATTGATTTTTCGATAAATTTCAATCCTATTATACGATTAAATCAAATTACAATTAATCAAAATAATTCACAACAAAAACAACAACAACAACTAGAATCGAAAAGGTTAGCTGAAGATAATTATATTATAATTAAACTAATTATTTATTTATTTCAAAAAAAAGGATCGAGAATAGTTTTATCTATCGTTAAAGAGAAATAAATATTATTTTTTATTGATTAGAAAATTCTTTTTTTTTGTATCATTAGAAATGAATTTCTTGTCTATAATACTTAGTTTTATTCATATATATTATTTAGAGAAAATCTTTTGAAATTATCTTTAGAAAGATGTTAATACAATTCAAATCAGATATTCAAATGTAAAACATGATCTATCTCAGTGTTTATATGATATATAAGAAAATACTATGGTATCGATTACGTTTTGTAGACACAGTAGGTTCAAATTTCTGTTCGTATATACATCAAAATTCATCTAAGCAGAGTTTAGTTGAAAGAAAGATTCAGATTATTTTTTCAATGTTTTTCCTACAAAAGAATAAATAATATTTGTAAACGTTTTAATATTAAAAGACATATTTTTTTGTTTGATTTCAGTCATAATATTAGAAAAAACAGTTTTCATAATGACACAACGGATGATATGCTTTTAAACATGTCAATTGAACAAAATTTGGAAGATTTTTTTGCTGAACTTTCAAATACACAACAAAATCACAGTTACGAAACTTCAACATTTATGACAACAACACAAAATATTGCAAATCATGAAACTATTGACAATCAAGATTCTTCACTTGATGATTTCATGAACATTCTTGCTTATAATACTTCATCTACTGTACCATTTAAAAGTGTGCAAACTGGAGAATCAATCAATACGATTGAAAAATATCAAAACCAACAAGTGGTAAGTAATTATGAATATTGTCTCTTGAGAAACATAAGTGTTAAGGAAAAAATATTAATTTTTAAAAGATATCTTAGTAATCATCGTATTTTAACTCTAATTCATATTTTGCTGATTATAAACTAAGAAAATCATGATAATTAGGCGAATATAAATTTATACAACTGTGACATATTTGAATATTATCAATAGAAAACAATCTTGTCGATATAAAATTCTGAAACTTTACTAGTTAATATTGAAATATTTATTAGTAAAAATGTCAAGTTTGCAAATGCATAAAAAAAAGCTTTGAGAGAAATATATTCAATAAGAACAATATTCCTTAATATTTTCTTTCAATAGAATCGTTAATGAAGGTAAATTTTAAGAAGTATTAAATAGAAAACAAATCATTCTTTATTAGTCAATTGGATGATTATTAGAAGTGATTACTATCTCTCTTCTAGTATATCTTTCGTCTCTTTTTAGGCACATGAATCATCGACAGTGATGAATACAACAACAACAACAACAACAGCAGTAAACATAAATACCAAGAATAATATTAAAAAAAGAAAATTTAACGAAGATATTAATCGTTATAAAACACTTGTTGTATTGGGATTACGATCTGATGTTAATGAAATTGATTTATATCGTCATTTTATTGGATGTATTAAAGTAACTTTAAAACCATGTAAATCAGAAACATATTTGAAGTATAATACATCATTTTAAATAATAGAAACAACAGTTTTTATCTTCTCCTTCTTCTTCTTTTTAGATATGCTTTTATTGAACATAGAACAATAAAAGAAGCTGAGTGTAATTTCAAACGATCTCTCAATTATCTTCTTTTCGGTTCTAAATGTTATATGAAATACACCGGTGACTCTTCATCTCTTCCTATTGGGTATCGATTCGATAATGAACGAACAATTGTAGTAAAAAACATTCCACAAAATGTTACCGAAGATGATTTACATCAATTATTTATCAATTGTTCTATATCAAAATATTGTCCATCACGTATAGTTCATCATAGAACTCTCTCAGCTCCAATTATGAACAAAACTAAAACTCTTTCAGGGTAAGAACAGTATTAGAATTTCTGATTTTTTTTAACATTAGATCTAACTTTTCTATCATTCAGATATATATTATATTATACTTAGCATTGATCTTCAAAATACAGGAAGACTATGTCCTTATTATATTTATAGATTTTGTTACAAATGAAATAAAAACAAAATTATAGATAGATTTTCATATTTTAATAATATATTTTTCAAATTAACAATATTTCTCGAATCAATATAGTTAGTTAAAGTACTAAAATAGTACATAAGATCTTTAATCTCTACCATTTTCCATCGTTATTCTTATACAACTTGAATTATTAATCTTACTATAATTTATTGTGAAGAGTTTTTATTGTTCTAGATTTTTTTTAATTATTATAACAATTATCAGAACATAATATATTTCATTACGAGTTTTAGCAATAGTCTAGTTATAAAAGTCGTTAATAATGTTCAAGAACAGAACAAAAGTTTTGTCAACTAATCGAATGTCTATTTATCGTATTAACTTTAGAAAAGTTTCTATTTCTATTTGGTCAATAAGCAAAGAAAAAGAATAAATGAGATCATTTATGATCATCTTTTTTAGACTTATATGTATGCTATAGTATCGAATGAGCGTGTAATATTTTATGGGAATTCATCCATTACATACTAATGACATTATCTATAAAAGAAATCATCTTTAGTAAAAAATATGTCGAATGTTTATTTTATATATACACTGTTCAGAGTGTGCTTCGTCATGATTTACCTTGTATTGTACTTTAATAATTAGTAATGACCATAACAAAACTTTTATTTGTGGCATTAATCTCGATTATTTGTCTAAAAATTCAAAATGTCAGTAAAGGATACTTGGAGTGTTAAATAGTCAGCATTAGGAGAATAAAATAAGACTCTCATATTGTAAATTGAAGTTAATAGATAATGAAATATAACGAAAACAACCAAACACGATAATCAAATTTTTTTTTACTTATTTTTATTTCAGGTATGCATTTCTTGTTTACAATACCGTTCAAGAAGCATCCAATTTTATTGAACATGCTGATCAATATCAAATCAATGGTCAACAATTGATTATTTCTGCTTATATCGATTCACGTCAATTATAAATAGTCATAAAACAACGTTTTTTTTCATCACTTTTGTAAAAGTTTCTAAAAATTCATATAACTATTTGTTTTATAAGAACTGTTTATCGGCCTGTCCACGTAACTGCGTACATTGATTGGCAAAGTTGACTAACGCTGTTAAGAAAACTAATATTACCATCGTGTAGAGCAAGGTCGAAATCACTCACAAATATGTTCTTTTACTTCATAGGTCTGCATTATCGTGTGAAAATTTATCATACAGAAAGTGTGAGTTTCATAAGTCTCGAATGAACAAAATTATGACAGATTCTAGTTTTGAAATTTTTTTTGCAAAGAGACGTGCTTTTTTGGAACTTTATATATGAGGTAGTACTACGACTAACACAGTATATGTTTATGAAAAGAAAAGTTTGATTCGTTGTTCCTTCGTGAAATTATCTCAGTCTGTAAACATGGTACATTGATGGTGGTGATTCCGTCACGATATTCATCTATAATTCATTTCTAGTAAAATACGAGTGGTTTCATTTTCTCAAAAGTGGTATTCTAAAGACACTTTTTAATGCTCTATGTGTTGCTGTAGTTGGTGGGTTTTCAAAACGGTTTAAGGAATTACGAGCAATGTTACGGAATCACCTCAAACGACCTAGTTTTTATGATAGATAATAATAAAATCATTTTTTTACTACAAATGTATTTTAAACTAAAATTTAACTAGAGGAAAGTGTTTTTTAGGTCTGTTCTTTATTTTAGAAAACAGTTTTTTCATGTTTTCGTCCATTAAGAGAGACTATTTTAAAACTATATATATGCATGGTAAATGCTAATGTTGTAATTTTTGCTATAACGAATATTTTACTTTTTTTACCTTAATGATTCTTTTTATCATTCACATACCTTATTGTTTCAATAATTTTTCTTTCTTTTCAATGAATAATATACAACACAACTAAAGACACGTGATTTTCATTGTCGTACATAACAGTCTAATTATGAATGTCCGTCAACTAACGCAAACTATAATAGTTAATTTGACTAAAATTTTTCCATTGCCTACCAAAATCAAATTCAGTCTGCCCACTGGGACAAAAACCTTATTTCAATCTTCACAGCTTATGCTTGAATGAGTGGAAGTAGAGGTGATAGTCAATCTCTTGGTTTAGTCTCAGATTCTATCGAACATACCTTATACGACTTCTCTCTATTTAACTATTGAAAAAACAAAGTGAAAAAACGTGATTCCGTCACGCTTGGACAGGCCGTTATCTCATATCTAAGGGAAAACAATTTCTCTTTTTGATTGCCTGTTAGGTAAATAAATAAACGAACTACATGTAGGGTAAATGTAATGAAAATTCTATTTTTAATGATAATAGAAATTTTTAATCTTAATCGATCATTATCAACCCTAAGAACAAGACCAAAAATTACAATGATGTTATACAAAACGAAAACTTTAAACTTTACAACATAAACATTAAGAACAACAACAACAACAACAATTCACAAAGATGTTGATTGTGACCAATAATAAACTTATTTAATTTGATCTTAAAATCGAATTGATTCCATATGCCTATAAGCATACTAATAACTTATAACTCATGTATCAATATCTACTGAATAATGATAATTACGCATGAGGATAATGTAAAAGCATGAGATTTAATGCAATATACCTAGATCAAACGACCTCAATCAGATCTAGTTGTTTTGGAATAATTTGGTCGGATCCCACAATGTATTTTGTCTCGCTCTCATGCTTTGGATGCCGACCCGAATTTCATCCAAATACGACAAAACCTTGTCGGTTCCAACCAAATCCAATCAGATGTAGAGGTCGGATTGCATCTCATTCGATCCGATAAACGAACTAAATGTAGAGTAAACTATGTGAATATCTTATTTTCATGAAAATTTTCGATCTAAATCGATCGCTATCTACCGACAAGAACACGAACAATCACTATATGAGTATATGGAATAAATTCCGTATTAAGATCAAATTAAATGAATTTATCGTTCGTGACAATTGAATATCTTTATCGATTCTTCTTATCCTTATTCTTAATGTTTATGTTGTTATTTATATTGATGTATATGTTTGCATTACACTGTTCTAATGCACACGTCGTTATAAAATTAATGTTTAGTTCTTTAAGTCAATCTAAACATTAACTATCATAAAAATTTTTAACACAATTCATAATCTACCATAATTTCAGTGATTATATTTCATACTGCTTTTTACCAGATATCTCTTAAATGTTTCATTACTGAATTCTTTCAATACATGGATCTTTTATTACTAGTTCTACAATGGTGTCTCCTACGTTTTACGAGCTTGGAAAGGATTTAAAAATGTTTCAATGTATGTTAATATCCAAAACAACTACTTTCCCAAAACACACTAACAAATATCTCACAGCTATATATCTTTCGACTCATTCTCTAACTTCTGCTTTTATAACTAGAAACCATTAAAGACCCTCCTGCCGTTTTTCATATCTCTATCAGCAAAAAACAGAGAGACGATGCAGTTGTCGCTGCACGTATAGGTAAGACATAAACAACGCACCACTCAAACATCCTTCCACACGAATGACACCAACCTTTCGCATCCACTTTCACACGCATACAAGCACATCCACAACCACATACGCATATCTATATACAACTCTCCAACATGAACTTCGACACCCACAAGCGCAGTTCCATACATAAACCCACACTCTAACCAAAACGCACACCCGCTCGTCCACATCTAACTCCGTCACATACCCTTTTACACGCAAATCCTTCTCAAGCTCTTTCAAACTAGAAAACGCACTTCCACAGACGCACTACAACGAAACCCACAATAACACACGTACATATACATCCAAAACCCTGGTATGCACTTCCGCATCCGAATCTTTCACACGCACTTCCATACCCACAAACACACTTACATACCGAGACAGCCCAAACGCACTTTAAACCTGCAAACACACACATACACCCAGCCCAACACCCACTTCTACAATCACACATTTCCACCTCCACCTCCACCTCCACATCCACATCCACACCAACACACACACACACAAAACACTTCCACATCCACACCCACACACTCACACATACCTCTACATCGAGACGCACACTTCCACATCTACACCCACGCCTACACTTCAACACCCACAGTTCGACAGCCTCACCCACCTACACACACACTTCCACAGCCCCACTCACATATACACACATACTTCCGCAGCCAAAATTCCACTCCCACATCCTCATTCACAGTTCCACAGCCACACAACCAAACCCATATACACACACTCACACATACGCTTCCACACCCACAGATATACTTCCATATCCACACCTACTCTACCACAACCCCCATCCACACTTACCTTTCCGCAACCCACAGACATACTTCCATATCTATGCCCACCCTTCCATATTCACACCCATACTTGTACATCCACGCCCCACACTTCTACACCTAGAACCACACCAAAACACACTTCCACGCTCACAATACCCTATCGACTTCTACACACACACTACACACCAACACCCACCATAACTCCACCCTCACCCAGCACTAAATAATAAAAAAAATACAAACAACAAAAAACAAAAGAACACGGTCCATAAAACTAGCACAGAACACTGATGCGAAACTTAGCCAAAGCTCCCAGGAGGTCCTCATTTTCGAACTACATCGACTGACCTTGAACTAATAAAAGCAAACATACACTCTCCAAAAACCTGCATTCATCCTAACCAAAACGTCTGGCAGTTCTTCATTTTAGAACCGCATTGAATATACTTAATTCTATAAACACGAAAAAAAGCAGAAGCAAAACATGTATTGACCTTAACCAAAAATCCTGGCGATTCTTCATTGTAGAACCGCATTGAATATACTTAATACTACGAACACAAAGCATAAAAACAAAAC